CCTGCAGGTATTTCCTCTTGTTACACGGGAACAAGGGCACTTCATCCCACCTCCCTCATCCAGCTCCACTCTCCTCACCCCAGCAATCCCCCTCTGTGTGTGCAGAAGGTGCTCCTGTACTCCAGCAGCAGTGGAGGAAGCCCTGGAGCACTTGGGAAGAGCAGATTTGTTGAACAGCCCTTTCCCTGCAGTGCCGCTGCTCCACGTGGCCTCGGCTGCAGAGGAGCAGCCACGAGGGGCTGTGTTTACAGGTCACTGCCACAGGTTGGGACTAAAACAAAACCAAAGCCACCAACAGACCACTGCCATCCTTTCTAGATGCTGCACTGAGAGGCTGAGCCTTTGAAGGTGCTGGTTTGGGGGTGATGAGAGTCACCCCAGTAAATCCTGCCCGAGCCCAACAGCCAGAAATGTCTGTTGGAACAGAGGGTCTGGAGACCCTCTTCTCTCTTCTCGCTCCCAGCAGCTCATGGCCACCCCAAAAGGTTTTGGGGAAAATCCAGGGCAGCCAAACCTGGCAGAGATCTCACCCCAAACCCCACTCAGCCAGGAACAGATTAATTCCCGAGGACTTTGAGGCTTTGCAGGCTCCCTGTCATGCGTTAACTGAGATGTTACAACTTCCAACACCCTTCGAAAAATCAGAAACTGGAAGTGTTCTGAGCTCATTAAGTGCCTGCCAAAGAACCCTTCTGTTTCAAAGAATCAATAACCTGCTTTTGTTCGCAGCTTGATTTTTAACGTGACCAAAAAGACACCAACGCTACCGACGCTAAAAGCCACCAGGGCTGTGGTGGGGAGAGCAACAGCTTGAGCCTTTTAAGTCCATCTTGCAGGAGGAAGGCACAGATTGAGCATTCCAGAGCACTCCCCCCATCTGCACAGACTGCAGAGAGGCAGCACGTCCTGCCCCCCTTGTTAACTCTGATTTACATCGCAAATCACCCCGGGAACAAACTCGTTAACAAACTCGTTCCCTGCCCGGCGAAGCTCCGGGATGGGGATGCTCCGACCCAGATTCCAGAGCTCCCCCAGCTCCCCCCTGCCCAGGAGCAGCACACCCAGCACAGAGGATGCCCCCTGACCTCGCAGCTCTTGGTGACAACCGATCAAATCTTGTCAAACCTTCCCAAATCTGAGGGGAGATACAGGTCTTCCAAAGTGTGCCACCCCCACCCACCCCCAAACCCAGCTGTTTTCTTCTAGTCACCCCAAAAAACCCCTAAATCATCAGAAGTGCAATCAGAGCAGCAGCTTGACAAAGCCAGTTTTGTCTTTCCCAGAGTTGCTAATTTACATGGATTAAAATCCGTATTTGCTTGGGAACTTCCTCCCCTCACTAAACCACAGCAGGGGGGTGGGACTGGGCTCAGGTGGGACCTGCACTTCTCTGGGAGGGTGAACTGGGTGCAAAACACCCAGAACATGAACATGCACAGTATGGCTGGCACTTGATGGTCCTTAAGATCCCCTCCAACCCAAACCACAGAATGGTTAAGAAATATTAATTTATTTCCTGCATGAAAAACAAAAACTTCATCAGACAAGCACTTGGGAGACCCCAACCACCAGTTAAGATAATATTAAATAAATACGTTTAATATATTGCTTGGTTTGACAAAGTGGCTGCTGGTAAAGCTGGATGTGACTGAGATGGGGGTGGCAAAGCCAGAATCTTGCAAGTGCCTGTTGCTGTTGGTTAATTCATTTGGATGATCAACACGCTGGCTGCACGAGGAGGGTGAAGATGTGGTTCCTCTGCTGGGCACACACCCCCCGAGCCCACTGTGAAATCATAGAACCCCCTGACTTGGAAGGGACCCACAACCCAAGTGCAGCTCCTGGCCCTGCCCAGGGAGACCCCAACAACCCGCCCTGTGCCTGAGGGGGTCAGAGGAGGCTGTTCCACGTGTGTGAGGAGGACACACCACCGGGTTTTACATCCTCGGGGGGGGCAAAACCCCTCCCGGCACGACCCCGATCGATGCCGAGTTCACTGCCCGACTCAGTCCTGGTGCTGAATGAAACACAGCCCGGCAGCCAGGACAAAACAAACACATTAATCCTCCCTCGCTGCCCCCCAGAGCAGCTTCAGCAGTGACAAGGCTCTGCCAGGGCTTGGCAGGGGCTGAGCATCCCAGCCCCGAGCTCGGCAGGACCCGGGGCCACTCCCTCCCTGCAGTGACCAGCACGGGGAGAGTTTGTTACTCCTCGGGAAGATGAAGAGCTCTCTAACACCTCAGTGCACACATCAGAGTTGCCAAGACAGCAGAATAAGAACTGCACGAGGGCAAAACGTCCCTTTTAAGGAGCCTCTGTGGGTGACCTTAACACCACGTGAAGCCTTTCCAGCTGCAGAAGCTCTTGACTTCCTGAAAGCGCTGCCAGTGGGTTTGACTTTATTATTTCCTACTTTTTAAACCTGCCCTTTGCTGCTCTAAGTTCCTCTTCCTCTCCCAGATCCTCAGAGCAGATCAATCTGCACCTTTTCAGCTCAGTCTCTTCAGCTGATGTGATCCTGTCACCGGAGCCAACTGCTCCTCTCTTCCCTAGCATTCCATATTCCCCATGGTCTGAGCGGATAAGAAAGCCTGAAACACTTGTTTCAGTCTGAAACGAAGCAGACTGTGACAGAATTCTGGGAAAGGCAGCAGACACTGAGCCCAATTCCTGGTGGGGAAAAGAAATCCCATTTTACACCACAGGTCATGTGGGGCCAACAGGGTTTGGCACCTTCCTCGATGATCTGGGTGATGGGACAGAGCTCTGCAGGCAACACAGAGCTCTGGGAGCAGCTGAAGGACCAGGTGGGCACATTGCCATCCCGAGGGACCTCAGCAGGCTGGAGAAACCAAGTTCTGAGGGAAACAAAGCCCTGCCCCAGGGGAGGGGTGACACCGGGGTGTCCCGGTGACCCGGGCAGGACCTGCACCAGCACCGTCACCTTGCAGCACCCAGACAACACCTGGGCTGCTGCCAGGCTGGAATTCCACAAATCCCACCAGTTTTAGAGGGATCAGAGCATCTCCCTTGCAGGACCTCAGTGCCAAACTCGAGCCAAGGGGTGTGACAGGTGAGATCCTGCAGCGAGAGCAGCCACACATTAAGGGGGTTATTAGTGCTGCTGTTTATAAGTCAAAGCTTGGTGCAGCAATTACGGCCTCCCAGCACTCAGAGCTGCAAGGAAATTACCAGAATTACCCACGGTTTAGATGAACTTTCTACCCCTTCAATCAATAAAGTGCCATTAAGAGTCGATTCCCAGCCCCGCCTCGTTCACAGCGTTGCAGGGTCGGAGCCTCTGCCAGAAATTCTCCCTTGATTGGATTAAATTTTGGTTCAACGGGGCTTTGCTGAGAAGAGTCTTGCAAAGCACTAACTCTGCAAACTCTGACGCCTCCCAGCCTGCAAGTTTTAAAAGCCCTGCCGAGCTCAGGTTCTGCTCTCGGCCCCACACTCACAAATATTTCCCGTTGCTTCCCATAAACTGCTGGAGGATCCCGGGAAAAATATTTAGGGAGAGTATAAGAAACACGAAAGACACAATTCCAAACATTTCAGATTGGTTTACGTTTCAGTCGAGGAAACACCAAGGTACAACCTCCACTCCAACCAAAGACTTTGGCAGCTCAAGGTGACTTAACTTCAGGAGGAAAAATTTAAAAAACCCAATTTGAAACCTCCCCGACTTCAAACCAGCAAACCCCTCGGGCTCGGTGGAGAAAACCAGCGAGTCTTTTTCCCTGAGATTTGCTTCAGCCTCTCAGAGATTTGGGAAGATGGATTCTTGGTAATTTGGCATCGAAAGCAAAAATAGTCACTTCCCTGGCAACTCCCTAAAATCAGAACTCGCACAAAGAAAAGGGGGAAAGTGCCAAAAGCAAAGCAAGCCCTGGCATGCCCAGCAAATGTAGAATCTATTATTTTGTCCCTTTGGACTCAATTAGTTCAAATTTACAATGAATGACACCCATAAAGATGTTAAACGTTAACAAAACTTCTGCTAACTTGCTTCAAAATGAATTTTAATTGCAAGCTGTTTTAGACATCTTCTAGGCTTGCAAAATTTAATGAGGATTTTATTCTGCCCACAGAAATGCCAATATATTAATTTCATCCTAAAAATCTATAGTTCCTGAAGAGGCCTGAGAGGGGGGAAAAAAAAAAATCAATATTTTCTAAACGACGACCACTTGAGGTCTTTCTGCTTTGGAGTTCCCTGGGGGCAATTCCCAGACCCTCCTGCTCCAGCATTTCCTGGTTTTTAAGAGAATATGACCACAGAGATCATGGAATCATTGGAAGCTGACCTGTCTCCCCTCCCACCACCACTCTGGGTCCTGCACCTCTCACACAACATCCACCACCCCTCTGCCCCAGGTCGGCTCAGAAACCTCCTTCAAGCTTTTCCTTTAGTTTTCCCCCCTTCCCTTTGATTTTTTTTTTTTTCCAGGCCCCAGAAATTCCAGAGTGGCTTTGAGCAAATATCCTTTGGTTTTTAAATTTTAAACAAAGCATCTGTGACTGAGCAGGAAAACAAAACAAAACAAACCAAACAACAAAAAACCCTCCTCTCTGAACACTCCCCTTCCCATCAGGCTGTTTGGAGCACAGGGCACTGCTCCAGGATCAATGGTGTTAATTTATTCTCTTATATTACACAGAGAACAACCTTATTTCAAACTGCCTTCGTGCCAACTCCCAGCCTGAAGCACTTCTATTTTTTTCCCCCCCTTTTAAGAACAGCTGACTTATCAAAACCTGCTTTTTTCTACCAGAAAACCACAAGCTAAGCCCACATTATAATAATTGAAGCAATTAATTACTTTTATGCCTTTCTTTTTTAAAGGGAGATCTTTTAATGCAGGTAATTCTGACTAAAAGAGCTAATTTGAACCGCTCCATCATTTAAAAGATGATTATAAAATTAATTTAGAAAGTAGAGGAGGAAGACAAAGGGATAAAGGAAAGCAGGACCAGATGGGTCTTTCCCTTGTGCTCCAAGTGGGAATTCTCAAATCAACAGGACTGTTGGAAAAGCAGGGAGAGGGCTGGGCAAGTGTTCAGGTCACTGCTGTTTACAGGTTGCCCAGAGAAGCTGTGGCTGATCCATCCCTGGAAGTGTCCAAGGGCAGGTTGGACAGGCTTGGAGCAACCTGGGAGAGTGGAACAACCCAAAGCATTCCATGATTCTGTGAGAATTCCAGCTTATTGTGCCCAGGAAAACAGGCAATAGACACAAACTGTCAACACATTTTGCCTCTCATCCAATATTTACTGATGGCCTGGGCTCCTTCCTGAGCTCCACCCCAAATCCAGCCACCAGAAAGGTCCCTGAGAGGAGGAGAATCAAAACATCCACGTTGTGAAGCAGCCAAAGGTGTCAAAGCCAAACCCAGCAGGGGCTGAAGAGATCCTGACCTGCCAGGAGCAGCATCCCCCCCATTCCCCCCGGGAATCCAGAGCCACGAGCTCCTTCCATCTGGGCTCTGGTCAGATCACTGTGTATTTTAGATATTTAGGTGAAGTGTCTGCATGTAATAACTGGTTATTAGTTCCCAGATCTGCATCAGCTCCCAGCCTGAGCCCAGCAGCACGTGAGACAAAAGCGTGGCTGTGCCAAGAGCCAGCAGGGGCAGCAGGAGGAAAAGCACTGGATTTGGAAGCACTGATAAGAGAGCTGGTGGAATTCATTATTATTCATTATTATTCACTATTAGTCATTATTAATTATTCATTATTATCCTCCCCACAACAGGAATCACACATTCCTGCCTGACAGCCCCTCCTTGCTCCCTGAGCTCAGAACCAGGGTCTGGACAAACTCCTTCAAGGACCATCCAGGCCTTGGAAGGAAAACCTTCCCCTGAGGATGCTCAGGTTGGGTTCCACCACCCAGAGCCGGCACTGCTCGTGCAGGTGAGGCTGTGCCAGCACATTCCAACTGCTCCAGGGCCATTCCCTGTCTGTGTGGGAACCTGGGAGCTCCCCTGGGAACAGCTCCTGGATCCAGAATGGGAAACAGTCTCTGTTTTCCCACTCCCCTGTTCATCCCACTGATCCACCTTTAGGTTTTAAAGCAGCAGCAAGAAAACAACAGGGACCGAAGTCGGTTTTTTCCACATGAACTGGAAGGTTGTTAGTCAAGGACAAGAGGCCTCCAGGGCTGCACCAGAGCTGGAAAATGGAGGAGTTTGGCGATCTAAATAAATATATACACGTATGTTTTTGTGCTCCATCACATTTGCCAAGACACGAGGGGTCACAGATATCTGTGAGCGTCAAGATGAACAAATACCACGGCCTGGCTTTGAAAACACAATTCTGATTCTTAACTTGAAGAGTTCTCAGTTCTCTCTGGCTGTGGCAACACTTTATTTCATCTCTCTCGTGGAGAGAGGAACTGCAACAACACACATCAGTGTTTCCCTCATCTTTGAAGCACTGAGATTTTCCTCTGCTGCGGCCCAGACATCCCCCAAAAAAATCATTTTAACACCAGAGAGATGAATCCAGCACCGAAGTGGATCTATCAGCTGTGACTTCCACCTCTGGCACTTCAAGGAGAGCTGTGGAAACCCAACCCAGGGGAAGCAGCTCGTGCTGTCACACGGGGAGCAGCTGCAGAGGAGCCAGGGAAGAAAACCCAGCAGGCAGAGATCGTTTAAAACACATTTTGTGAAGCAGCTGACATCTGGAAACCAAGTGCTTACATTGTTTGAACAACCTGTAAATAGAAGGAAAACCTTCCTGGATGGGCCCCCACAGAAAGCCCAGCAGAGAGAGGGCTTTGAAGGCACCCGAGGTGTCTGTGCTGCTCACTTTGAAGCTGCAGATAAGGGTGAGCAGTGTAAAACATGACTATTATCAGCTCTGGCAGACACATCCTGACATGAAAACAGCAGCTCCCTCACCGTGGTGAATTCCTGAGCAAAGGGAGAGCTCTCCCTGCACGGGCACAGCCTCAGCCCCTGGCACAGGGGGTGGGTTCTGAACAGGGAGAAAACGCACTGGGAAGGGAGAGACACCTCCTGGAAGCACCTTTAAGTGAAGTCAGGGATCTTTCCCACCAACATCCATACAAATCCTCGCTCAAACTGGGAAAAATCAGCGTCCCCATGAGGCAGACAGAGGGTGTTTCAAGGGGGACCCCAAATAGCCAACTTTTTCCAACCTGTGACATCATCTGACATATAAAATCTCCTTCTCCTGCCAAATAAAGGTGTTATCCACCATCATCCAATCTCTGTGGCCACCTATATTTTGGGTCCCGTCCTGAAGGTCCTCTTGAGATTCCAGCACTTCTCTCAGTTCCAGCCACTTGTTTTATACTCATTTGCACAAGTTCAAGTCTCTCAAAAAACCCTCCTCGGATCCCAGGTACCGAGTGTTCCTGCAAACAAACCTGGCTTTTATTCTGCCAACACGTGTTTGCAGGACAAACACAATTAGAAATTAATATTTTGTGACCTTCAGGGTTGGTTTTTTCCCCATACATGCCACAGGCTTTGCTGCACCTCATCCCTTGGGGTGCAGAGCACACAACAGTGGCCTCCACACGGGGTTCTCTGCCCCAGAGGTGCCCAAACAAAAAAAAAAGAAGGACAAACAGCGATAAAAAGGACAATTAAACCATGAGCAGGGTAATTTTCAGCCTAAGAGCATCTTCTTCCCTGGCTTACAAAGCCTGAATATTCATTAAATGCTCTGTACTGTGCAGCAAATAGAATTAATCATATTAATGCACGGAACAATAAGATTAAGGCAGAGAGCAGTAAACGGAATCTAATCATGTTTTACTGAATGAAACATGAGTGGGAGAGGTCACAGGGCCCTTGCACTGCAACCTGCCACTCTCTGTCTCTCCCTGCCACGTTCCAGGGCAGGATTTCAGGAGCCTGGAGCTTCCCAGGAGAAGGATGGGCAGCCAGGAGCAAGGCAAAGGGGGCTCTGCTGCCTCCCTGCTCAGCTGGAACCTCCCATTCCCCATCAGGAAGAGATGCTCAACTATGGAAAAAACCCTGATGGGATATAAACCTTCCCATTCCATCTAACCCTTTCTTCCAGCATTTCCCAGTTATCCCTGCAGTGCCACAGCCCAGGACAATGTGCAGGAGCTACTTTGTGCAGAGCATTATCCCTCCTGGAACTTCCCCAGGATGCTCAGGGATGATTTGCATCCCCTGGGGAAGCAATCAGGAATCCAGGGGTTCTCCAGCACTGCCAGCTGCCCTCCCAGCAGGGAGAAACAGCTCCCTGAGCTACAAATTCCTGCTCTTCCCGGGGAAAAATCCATATTAATGGAAGGCCTGGAGGTCCCACCGTGGGACCCCCCCATTGCCAGGGGCTGCAGGAGCTCCTGCCTGAACAGGATGCTCTGGTTTCTCACAAACCCTTCCAAAATGTTCTCTGCCTTCCAAGAGAAAAGAGGATTTTGCAGGAAGAATCTTTCCCACCAAAGTAAAGTTTTGCAGCCTTAAAGCCTTTGGAGAATTCGTTTCCAATTAAAAGGACTATAAATGGCTTCGGAAGGGAAAAAAAAGATAAAATTCAATAAGTCTGTTTTCCAGATCCCAATGAAGATGTAACTGCCATTTAAACAGGCATTTCAAAAGCCACTTCACACACGTTTTTTTATTCACTCCCAGCCCTATGGAAAACATGGCCCGTGGAAGAAAAACATCTGAATATTACAGATAAAGCATCCAAGAGTTAATTAACTCCTACAATAAGGAAGGCAGGGAAAAGAAAACTTCCCCACTTGCATTATCTGGGCTTTAAGCAGCGATGAAAAACAAGTTCTTTCAAGCCACACAATGACCTGCCAGCCTCGTGCAGCACCAGGGCAGGCTAATGCTTGTCAAGGTGCAAATAAAAGCAATTACTGAGTGGAAAAAATTCAAAAAGAGAGTGGTGAGTGTGAGATGGGAATCATCTGAAGGCAGAAGGCAGGAAATCTGTGTCCCTGAGTCCCTGCAAGGAAGGGAAGGTTGGGAAGGGAAGGTTTGGGAAGGGAAAGGGAAAGGGAAAGGGAAAGGGAAAGGGAAAGGGAAAGGGAAAGGGAAAGGGAAAGGGAGGTTTGGGAAGGGAAGGTTTGAGAAGGGAAGGAGAGGAGAGGTTTGAGAAGGTTTGGGAAGGAAAAGGAAAGGTTTGGGAAGGAAAATAAAAGGTTTGGGAAGGGAAGGTTTTGGAAGGGAAGGTTTGGGAAGGGAAGGGAAGGGAAAAGCCTTCAAGGCTCCTCCAAGGCTCTCCCACTGAAGGGAGCAGCACTATCAGATGCAGACTCAGAGCTTCAGCAGCAAGAGGAACACGTTTAGCAAGTGACAAAACACTAAATCCTGGTTCCCAAACCCTTTGGAGCCAAAGCCTTTCCATGGACATCACAGACACCGACTGAGCTCCGAGATGAAAACACGCCCTGAAAGCTCTGAGGCAGCTCCCCAAGGATCAGAGGCTGCTTTGAGAGAAAGAAAATAGGCTGGTTCATTAGAAGCCCACACAGAGAGGAGAGTTTTTCACCCACCAAGCCCATCATGTGAAGCAGTGACCTCCAGAACTCTGAGAGCACACGACGACAGGCGGGGGGAGGAGGGAATGAGCAGCACCAGGAGGGAATCCCAGAGCAGATCCTGCCCTGGAGAACTCTAATGACTGTCAGAAACCACTCAGAGACAGAGGAGGGGGGTGGGGAGGGAAGGGTCACCTGCAGGTAATGACAAGGAAGGAAACAAAGAGGAGCTGCTCAAACCCTGATGAGTCTTCCAACCTCTCTTCCCCCAAGCTCAGCCCTCTGCAGGAACACAGAGCAAGAGGGAACTTCTGAAATGCTTTTCCAGAAAGGGCTGGTGGCTCAAAGGGGCCTCCAGCTCCAGAAAGGAAGACACAGAATTCACCAGAGGAACTTTAAATGCAAAGGTCCTCAGTTCTCCCCCTGGTCCCTGCTCCTTTTTGTTTTCACCCATTGCTCAATATCTGCACAAAGCACCTCTGGGGCAGAGCAAGAGGCCTTCACATCTGGCACAGCTGTGCTGGAGAAGTAATGCAAAATAATACACATGGACATGTCAGGGCAGGTTCCTTTATCCAGGAAATCAGGGGATGAAGTTAAACTGAATTCCACACAAATCAAGTGGGAAAAGAGTCCTCAGGGGGAGGAAAAGCAAGTATTTGTGCAAGGGAGGAAAATACAGCTCCGAGGCTGGAAAGGCAAAATGGAGGTGAGACACTGGAGGGGAGGAACTGAATCCAGACAGGAATAAACTCCATGGATTTGGCAGCTCCCCACCTGCAGCCCCACTGCATTCCCTCAGTATGGGATTATTAACACCAAATCAAGGGAAAAAGAAATGGTTCCCAGGGGGGAATGACAAGGGAAGACTCAGAGAGTGGGAGGGCAGTTGGGGTAACGTGAGAGATGATGCAACCCCTCCAAAACACACAACCCAAAGAGCCTCTGAGCATTTTTGATGTGAATCCCACGACAGCAGCACCTTCCCAGCTGAAATCCCAGTCCCTCCCACCAACTTGGATCCTCATCATCCACCACAGGCAGTTGCAAAAGACAACACGAGCTGTTAAAAGAGCTGAGAAGCCTCATTATTAAAGAAACCATCCACATCTCAGAGCAAATTTTCCCATCTCAGAATTAGAAACATCTCAGGAACCTTCCAAACTTCGCCAGCCAAACTCTGTCCCGGGCAGGCAGAGCAGGAGCTCGTTAGTCTGAGCTCGTGGAACTCGTTCATTTGGCAGGAGCAGAGCCTTCTAAAATGCTTTCACTGGTGGAACAAAACAGCCAAATGCTGCTCTGGGGGAGGAGGTTGTGGCAGCTGCTCACCTGGCTCAGCAGGGCAGGCAGGAGCTGGCACTGCCTCCCCTCCCTCCCTCCTGTTCTCCAGCCCAGCAGCACAAAACAAACTTTCTATGGCAAACATTAAACTGCTTTCCCGGGCGCTGGAAATTCTCTGCCCTGGAGGAAATTTGGCTCTGCACAAACACCTTTTACCTCCAGCTACAGTGGAATGGGCTGGAAGAACCTTCCCTGCTGAACCACCTGGTTGTACCCAGCAAAACACACACCTGAGCTGAGTGACTGGCTGTAAACAGAGCGAAAATTGGATTTTTAGTCATTTCCTGCAGCACCACCTCGGCTGGCAACAGCACCATTATTGTGTCTGAGATCAGACACAGGGCCCAGACGAGCTGGAGGAGATCTCAGCAGCTCACAGGCACCAGTGCAGGAGACACAAAACCACACTGTCACTGTTCAAACTGCACAAAGGGAACCCAGAGCTCCTCCTCCTCCACAGGCAAAGCAAAAACCTCCCCTAAAGTCACTCTGAGCCAAGCGAGGGCTGCCCAGCACAGCCCTGATCTCCCCAGTCCTTGAGGGGACACATCCATGTGGAGGTGGGAGAGGGGTCAGGAGGGACAGAGGGGTCAGGAGGGACAGAGAGATCCAGGTGGGACACAGGGATCAGGAGGGACACAGGGATCAGGAGGGACACAGGGATCCAGGTGGGATGCAGGGATCAGGAGGGACACAGGGATCAGGAGGGACACAGGGATCCAGGTGGGATGCAGGGATCCAGCTGGGACAGAGGGATCCAGGTGGGACACAGGGATCAGGAGGGACCCAGAGCTGCAGCCACCCCTGCTGAGCTGCAGGACTCAGATTCCTGCCACCCCCAAGGGAGTTTTCCATCCCGTCACCCCAGACATCCCCCAGCAACTGATCTCAGGGCTCACAGGAAAACAAGCAGGAGATCAAAGGCAGTGTTTTAAATCAAGTCAAACCTCCCCAAAGCTTCAGAGCAGCCCCTGAGGGCAGAGCAGGCTGGCACACGTGTGCCCCAGGGCAGGATCAGTGCCCCAGGGTAGGATCAGTGCCCCAGGGCAGGATCAGTGCCACCAGCACCAGCCTGGGGGGGCTGCACGTCCTCAAACAGGGGCTGGGGATGGTTTAGGGGCTCAGTTTGAAATATTTTGGCCTTTAGGAGGGAAGGGGGAGCTTCAGGCAGGTGCCCCAAGCAGCCCTAAAGGGCAGATATTCCTGAGGGATTTGCCAAGCTCTGAGCTGAGCTGGCACAAAGCTGAGCACAGCTCAGGCCTCCAGCCCAGGCTGCTTTTTGGGGGATTTTCTCCTTTTGCACGTGTTTAGAGGGGAAAAATGTCCTTGATCCTTTCAGATCTCTCAGCCAGGACAAAGTGATGGGGAAGAAAACCTTGAGTCTTGAAGATAATAAAGAGTCTGGGGGTGAGGATGTGAGAGGATCCCACACTGGGCTGGGTGGAAGGGACCTTAAAACTCATCCAGGGATGGTCAGGATGAGGACCCCATCCAGGATGGGGACTGGGATGGTCAAACCCCAAAGGAGGACAAGGCAGCTCCTGCCATCCTTCCAATTTTTCCTTCCAGCCTGGCCCCCCCTCCTGGCCCTTCCCAACCTGACAGGCTCATCCTCACCCTGCTCCTTCCTCCCCCTCCTGTTCTCTCCTCAGCAGCAGAATTTCCCTTCTCACCTGTCAAGGCAATCCAGACCCAAAGCCCCCTGACAGAAGCTGAGAGAGCAGTTAAAAGAGCTGTAAATGTGTTATTTTATTAATATGGCTCGAGCAGCCCCATCAGCCTCCACTGCTCTGCTCAGACCTGCAACCTCCTTTCCCTTGGAACCCTCATTGCAGGATTCACATCCAACAGGTCGGGGAGCCAGTGAGGCTCAGACGAGGATTCTCCAGGGAGGGGGAATCAACACGTGGCACTGAAGGCACTTAAATCAACCCGGCTCATAAAAAAACCCACAAAACATCCATTTTTAAAGAGGGGAGGATGAATAATAATAATAATGCAGATTTTTATAAGTGCAGGTCAAGTCAAGGTTACTGGAAGTGCTGAGTTAATGGTCTCATAAATACCACCATTAGATCACATTCCATAGCTTGGAAGTACAGAGGAATTATCCCCCAGATGAAATTTAATTCTGTTTATTTGTGCACAGCTCCGGACACGACTAAAACTGCTCATAATGCTTAGGAAATGAAATATTTAGCTGGGAGATACTTCAGCAGGGGGGGTTGATTTGGCTGCAAGTCTATCTGCCATATTACCAATAATTAAAACCAGCTTTTCATAGACAGAAGGGGGGGAGAAAAAAAAAAAGGGTTTCAGCTCTATTTTCATGCTGAATCATATCAACATGTTTAAAGAGGAGATAGGAGTGCCAGGTTTGGGGTTTTTTTTTATTTTTCCCCTAAGGGCAAAAAAAAAAATAATTTTTGAAAAATGAGTCATCTGAATTTAATTATCAGGCTCTGAAAAATGAGATTCCAAATCAGGCTCTCCGTAATTCCGCTTGTGGGACCGCCAAGTTTCCTTCAGGAACGTTCAGTGGATTGGACTGGTGGGTTTATGTCACCCCTGGGGCACCATAAAAATGAGAGATGGACCTCCAGAGGCAGGAGCAGCTCCCTCTTCCCCCCAGCCCTGGGTGGAAGTGCTGGTGGGGACGGGCAGAGTTTCACTCAGGGTTCCATTTGCTGGGCCATTTTTATAAAAAAAAAAGTTCTTCCCTGCTGCATTTAGGGGTGGTTTATTAATTAATTTATTTTTTTCCCTGCAGGCTCACTCTGACAGGCTTTGTTTGCTTTTTTGATGTGACAAGACACAGCCTTGCACTGGCAACACCTCCGGGCTTGAATAATGTTTCTTAACCAGCTCCATCCATCTTTTCCCACACCCCACAGGTGACTGATCCTCACTGCAGCCCAGAATGGCTAAAAACCAACAGTTTTTAGCATCTAATCAAACCAGGGAGGGTTTTTTTTTTACTTCATGAAACAGCAACATCTAATTTTCCAAAGAGTCCTGGGAATGGTAAACAATTGGTCCACGGGGAAATGGCAACTTCTCTCACATCAATCCCTCCTCAACATTCAAATCCCCTTCCCCCAAAACTGCCAGCAAGGGGAAATTACTCCAATGAACGGGATTTGTGACAGAATCCTCATAAATAATCACAATTTCCCCTCCTGCTGATAATCCCAAGCAGTGCTTCAATATTGCAAACATTTATTCTTCCCTTCCAGGGAAGGGATCAAACATCCCAGACCTTCCACTTGCTGCTGGTCAGGGCTTTTAACCATTTGCTGAGTTGATCACTGTGTTTGGGTCAACACAGTTGTCCTTTGCCATAAAAACAACACCAGGAACACACCAAATTCCTCCTGCAATTCCTTCCCAAATTCCTCCTGCAATTCCTTCCCAAATTCCTCCTGCAATTCCTTCCCGAATTCCTCCTGCAATTCCTTCCCGAATTCCTCCTGCAATTCCTTCCCAAATTCCTCTTGCAATTCCTTCCCAAATTCCTCCTGCAATTCCTTCCCAGATTCATCCTGCAATTCCTTCCCAAATCCCTCCTGCAATTCCTTCCCAAATTCCTCCTGCAATTCCTTCCCAAATTCCTCCTGCAATTCCTTCTCCCTCCCAGCCTCCTGGCTCTGCTCACTGGGGTAGCTCTTGTACACTGGAAAACATCCCCATGGCCTTTATTCTGAATAAATGCAATATTTCTGAGAGCACTGCTCGCCCAACCCCTGGGATGAGAGGGGGACTGGAATTCTATCCACAGACAAAGTGATCTGGTGAAACACTTGCCATTGGTTCATCAGCAGTAAAGCAGCAGATTTAGCAGCAATCAGAAAAAACTGCAGCAAAAGCCAGGCTTGAACATCACAAGGTTTGAGGGGGTTGTCCACGTGCTGGGTGTTTGGGTTGGTTGGGTTTTAATTCTGCCACGAAACCTCCTTGCAGAGAACAGGATTTAAAGGAGCCCACAGTCACTCCAGAGTTCACCAAGCAAATCCAAAGCATCCCAGGGAGTTTCATCATGATAATATGATAATAACTGGGAACTGCCCTCCTTCAGGCACAGCCCCTTCCCTCTGGGCACACACAACAACCCCACGGGGGCTCCGAGGAAGAAAGGCCAGGAGTCACCTACCAGAGCGAGGATCCCTCTGTCCCAGCCACTTCCAGAACATCATATCCATCTTCCAGCTGGAAATCCATGAAAACCAGAGCGATGGTGTCCCCGGGCTCGGCCAGGATAGTCCAGGTGCAGTCGGCGTTGTTGCCGTATTCCAAAGGGAAATGGGGGCTGGAGATGATCCCGCTCTGGCCCCGCAGGGTCCCCCCACAGGCATCATCAGCTGCAACGGGACAGAGTGGTCAGGGCTGGGAACCCCCAGAGCAACAAAACCCAGCCCCAGTTCGAAGGCAAGTGACTGCAGCAGAGCTGAGCCCACCTCCATCGGAGGTCCCAGTTCCCATGGAAAAGCCAAGGGCACCTTTCCCAGATGGAGCCCCTGGAGCGGCTCCAGGAGCCCCCCAAAGCTGGGCTGGACCCACCACACAGTGATGAAGTCGTTGTAGGGCTGGGGTTGCCGAGGTGTGTTTTGAGCCCCCATCCTGGGGGATCCTCCAGGCCCAGCCAGGCTTTCCTGGCACATCCCAGCTCCTTCCCCACCACACATCTGCTTTATTCCCATTTTAAACCCCCCCAAGGGACAGAGCTGCTCCTCCCTCTCCTGGGGGCCTGTTCTCCCAGGTCCCCCTCTCAGGACACCGTTTCCCCCACTTGTTCTTGCCCAGGAATTTTCTGTTCCATCCCAGAGTCACTGAGGTTGGAAAAGCCCTCCTAGATCATCAAATCCACCCGGTGCCCGATGCCCACCTTGTCCCCCAGCCCAGAGCACTGAGGTTGGAAAAGCCCTCCCAGCCCATGGATCCACCCTGTGCCACTTCCTGGGACACCTCCAGGGATGGGGACTCCAAACCTCCCTGGGCAGTTCCAATTCCTGACCACCCTTCCCACAGAGAAATCCCTCATGATGTCCAACCACCCCTTATCCCTGATTAGGATCCTCGGAGGTTTTTCCTGCAACTTTCCTCCCGTGCCTGTAGCCAGCCCAGGAGGAGGACAAACCCCCAGGAATTCAGTGGCTGGGAAGGGTTTCAGACCCGTGGGGAGGGGTTGGTTTCCAGCTCACACAGATCTCAGCACCTTCCTGAGCCAGAGAACCACCCCCAGGGGTTGGGACAACAGGACTTGGGAGCACAAACACTGCATTTCACAGAAATCTGACAGTAAAAGGATTGGAGCATCCCACACACCTGCCTTACATGTCTTTGCTTGCTCTGATTCCTTAAGGAAATTTATGTGGTAAAAACTTAAACCCCTCGTCCAGAAATCCAGCAGTGACAATCCTGCACTGCATCTCCTGCTACAGGTCCTCTCCTTTTTTACAGCCTGAGTTTTTTGGGGAGGTATCAGAGCAACTAAAGGGGGAGGATCTAAAGAGAATATGGTCTGGAAGGTAAAAGGGAAGAAGGAATTAAGTGGAGGAGCACAGGGAAGCTCCGAGCATCAGCTCAGCATTATTTGGAACAGCACAAAGCAAAGCCTGTTAACTTTACAACGTGTAGCAGAGCTGCATTTCAGATGCTTTAGTCAAGGAGCTCCAGGCTTTACATGACAAACACTGATTTCCATTACAGGCTATTTTAAGCAAAAGCCTCCCAAGCTGCAGTTTAACAGAGCTGAGAACACGTGTTAAACACAGCGGGCCAGGCAGGGCAGGGCCGTCCCACGGGGCTGCTCGGGGAGGATCCTCAGACCTTCCCAGGAGCTCCTGTCCTGTGCCATCAGCAGGAGCTGCCAGCAGAGCTGGATCTTGAGCAGCCTCCAACTAATGAAACTTGAAAGACAGAGCGTGGCACACGCGGGCTGTGCCAGCCCCCTCCTCGCAGCCCATCTGCTGTGCCAGTGCCAGGCACGGGGAGAGCAGGAGGAACTGGGGAGGAGAGGAGAGGAGAGCAGGAGGAACTGGAGAGGAGAGGAGAGGAGAGCAGGAGGAACTGGAGAGCAGGAGGAACTGGGGAGGAGAGGAGAGGAGAGCAGGAGGAACTGGAGAGGAGAGGAGAGGAGAGCAGGAGGAACTGGAGAGCAGGAGGAACTGGGGAGGAGAGGAGAGGAGAGCAGGAGGAACTGGAGAGGAGAGGAGAGGAGAGCAGGAGGAACTGGAGAGCAGGAGGAACTGGGGAGGTTGCTCCAACCCGGCCTTGGACACTCCCAGGGATCCAGGGGCAGCCACAGCTTCTCTGGGCAACCTGTGCCAGGGCCTCCCCACCCTCCCAGCCAACAATTCCTTCGAGTATCCCATCTATCCCTCCCCTCTGGCAGTGGGAAGCCATTCCCTGTGTCCTGTCACTCCAACCCTTGTCCCAAGTCCCTCTCCAGCTCTCCTGGAGCCCCTTTAGGCCCTGGAAGGGGCTCCAGAGTCTCCCCAAAGCCTTCTCCTCTCCAGGTGAAGCCCCCCCAGCCCTCCCTCTCCTATTCCACCTCTCAAAGTTTCTATTTGCTGTACTGCCAGGGAACTGAAGGTATTCACAGACACTGGGGTGCAGTTCACATCATCGATAAATTAAGGATGGAAAGTCTCTCATCTACTCCAAGCCCCCCCCAAAACAATCCTTCAAAACTCAGTGCATCATGCACAGGATTCACAGTGGGACTTCCAAAGCTCCATGTAAAAGAATAAAGGGCTGATTCCAAACCATCTCCTTGTACTAGAAGGAGCACAGGAGGGGATGGGAAAGATGCTAAAGAATTTTGACTCAATTCTGGATTCAAGTTCTTAAACAAGGAGACTAAATTTGTTTTATTGGACTGTGCAAACTTGCAGTAGCTGAAGATCCAGCCTAAGGCATGGTGGGGGGTTGGCTTTTTTATAACTACTATTATTATTATTATTATTAAAAGGGGAGTTTTTAATTCAAATCCCTTGAAAAAAACTTCACTGCCAAAGGTATTTAAGGGAAAACACACTCCCCTCCCATCCACCTCTAAACACACACACACACTCCCTCAGTTTGTAGAGGTTGTTATTGCTCAAACATATCCTACAAATCTTCTAAAATCTTCTGGAACAGCCCTTCAATTATTTTGGGCACAGCACAGCCTAAGCAGCTGCTTGAGTTATAGTAAGAACAGACCACTTTTAATGAGATTATGCATATTTGATATGCTTAAAATGGAGCTTCACAAATGTTCCCAACTCTTCCCCTGCCTTCCCGAGTTTTTACTCCCAGAACCATAAACCCATCAGTTCTACTCAAACTCAGCAAACAATCTGGGCAAAGCTTCTCTCCCTGCACGGATGGAAGAGCTTTACAGCACGTTCAGATGTTTTGGGATCATCTCTTGGTGCTTCCCAAGCAGCATTTTGCTGCATTTGGGGTTTGCTGACCCAGGTCAGGGCTGTTCCCTCAGGGATCAGTTTGGACTGTGCTTCCCAAACCCAGCTGCAGCAGCAGCCCCTCTCCAATCCACCTGGAATTCCCTCGGATTTTCTCCTCTCTGGGATCACACTTGTCCTTTAGAAGAACACCAGCAATCCCAGACTGAGCTGGGCCAAGGGAGTGCAGAGAATTCCTCCCTGAGCCCCAGCACTCCCTCGACACCCTCCTGGCCCAGCACATCCCCTCACACCCCCTCACCACTGGTGGTTCTTTTCCACCTGGAATTTTTGTGCATCTTCAATTCTTTCAAAGCATCAAGACCAGAACAGAGGCAAAGATCCCAGTGTAGAGACAAGAATGTTCCACAGCAGGGGACAAACACAGAGCAAAGAGCACTGGGGGGTCCAACCCTGCCCCTGTGTCCCACCTCTGGAGTCATCCCAGAGGGAAGAGTCCTCAACCCAACAATGTCCTTTACAGTGGCGTCAGACAAATTATTCCCAAGGCAGCAGCTCCCAGGTTTTACCCCCTGCTCACCCAGAGAGCACCTTTTTTAATCTGAGCTCAGATTAAAAAAATAATACCTACAAACATTCAACAAACTTCCAGGTGACAGTGACCCATAAACCAATATTAAGAGAAATTATTATAAGCCATACAGGCCACTAAGATCTTTTTGCTCTCAAGGAAATATATATATATATATATATTTTTACTCTCCTTCAGGCAGCAGCTTTGAAAACATTCTTTTCCCAGCAGAAGAAGGTGTAAACCTGTTTGTCAGAATGCAAATCCTTCTGCCCCTTGCAACAACCAGAGCCTGTATCACCAGTTTATCAGCCAAGCACAATTGTCTGGCTCCTGGGAGCCTCCTGAGGGTGGAAGGAGGGCAGCAGGTTTCCAATCCAGCAAGTCAATTTGCAGGCTGTCTCTGCTGCTTTTCTACTTCCCTGGAACGAGATATAACTGCTACAAAAACGGGAATATTTCTGGTTCCTGCCTCCCAGAAAAATACTTCAGGTAAAAGCTCCGAGGCAAAGCCTGGCAGGATCAGGACCAAGAGTGTTGGAAAAGAAGTGGCTGCTCCAGGAACCAGCACTTGCCAGCAGAGCCATTCCCAGAGCACTGATGGAAGAGCTGAACCTCCCTCCCTTCCTCTCCAGCAACACTTTGGCTGTTTGACCCCCCGCTCCAATGCTCTGAATGCCCTTGGCCCCAAACCAGCAGGTGAGTGCACCAAAAAAACCCACGAGAGCAGCATTAATACCCCTCTTAGCTCTGTGTAACCAACCCAGGCAAGCATTGAAAACATCCCAAGCAAACCATGTTTGCTCACTTTAAATTCCAGATTTAGTGCTGCAGCTTAGAAGTGCTGATTGATTGCACAGGCAGAGTCAATAAAGAGAATCAATAGAAGATGCTCTGCTGAAGTACACAAGGAATTGAGGGGGAAAGGACTTCAAAAGCAGCAGCAAATGTTTTTGGTAGAACAACACAGGCACTTGTGTATTTACAGACTCTCCAGTCCCTCGTGGGACTCGAATTAGCAACACACTCCCTGCACTGAGAGGGATTTAAGTTTCCCTGCCCCAAACTTGCAGGGAGAAGGGAGGATTTTCCAAGGGAAGGTCGGGTTTTACCTCTCAGCCCCACTGCCCCCAACCCACAGCACAGCCCCACAGTCACCAGGGAATGGGCCACGAGAAAAATCCAACAGAGAGCAGGAAATCCAGGCAGGAAATCCAGGGGTTGACCCGGAAAACCTCCCTGGTCCTGGGTAGGTGCCGGGTCTTATGGACAATCACAGAATTCCAGAAGGGTTTGGGCTGGAAGGGACCTTAAAGCCCATCCAGTGCCACCCCCTGCCATGGGCAGGGACACCTCCCTCTAGCCCAGGTTGCTCCAAACTGCCCTTGGACACTTCCAGGGATCCAGGGGCAGCCACAGCTTCTCTGGGCAACCTGTGCCAGGGCCTCCCCCCCCTCCCAGGGAAGGATTTCATCCTAATAACTAATCCAAACTTACTCACTTCCATTTTAAAGCCATTTCCCCTTGGCCTGTCACTTCACACCTTCGTAAAGTTGTTTTGTTTTTTTTTCCCCCCAGTTTATCCAAAGAAATGGCACTTAAAGCAGCTGGGCAGCATTTCCTTCACAACCTTCCAGTCCCTCACCCCAACAAAACCCAGCAAAGAGGAACCTCAGCATTACCCACATCACGGGCAGTTTTCAAGCCTTTGAAACCCCCTGAGAGCTCCCGAAATCCCGTTTTCCCGAGGGAAGGGAGGGGATCCTGGTACCTCTGCAGACGGGGAGAGGGAAGTCCCAGGAGGCAGAGTTCTCGGAGCTGGCCTGGCACGTCAGCAGGGCATGGCCTTCCAAGAAAAAGCCCGGATTGCAGCTGTACCTCACTCTGTCCCCGATGCTGAAGGTTGTCCCCTGTTGGATCCCGTTCTGGAGCCTTCCCGGATTCCCACACGTGTGGCTGGGCAGAGCTGCCAAAGAAAGGGGCTCCTGGTTAGGGACAGGGCAGTGCCACCTCTGCCAGGGGCACTGCCCACAGGGGAGGGGGGTCTCCAGGGAAATGCAGCACTTCAAATAAAACAACCAAGCTAAACATGCACTAAACTTACCTGCTGGATTGCTCCAGAATTCATTAGACCACTCAGAGTCAACATTTAAAGATTATTGCTACCTAATATAATACACATAATAATATAATATTATATATATTTACATACTTTATTTATATATGTTATATATTTGTATATATATATTATATATTTGTATATATATTATATATATTTCTACCTAATATATATACCTAATTTATATATATTATATATTATATATATTATATATATTTCTACATAATATATATACACACACCTAATATATATACTTAATTTATATCTATATTACACATTTATATATATTATATATATTTCTACCTAATATATATACACACCCCTAATATATATACCTAATTTATATATATATATTATATAATATATATATAACATATATTTCTACATAATATATATATACACATAATATATATACCTAATTTATATATATATTATATATTATGTATTATTATATATTTTTCTACCTAATATATATACACACACCTAATATATACACCTAATTTACATAATATATTTTACATAATATATATTTTATATAATTTATATAATATATTTACATATATTATATATATTTCTACCTAATATATATATACACCCCTAATATATATATACCTAATTTATATATTCCCGACCATGCAGGTTTTTGGGATGCTCTGGAACACGTCAGATGGCTGGAAAACCAGCACAGAACTAATGTTTCATTTGCTGTAATGATACTCAAACCCCCAATTTAATTAAATTACCAATGTCACTTTTTTTTTTTTTTAAAAATGAACCCATTCCCGCTTTTATGTTTCCATCCTTTAAAATTAATGACTAGAACTTTATGCTATAAATAAAAATCTATCATTTTCAAAAGTCAATCTCTACCACGAGCCGCTCTCTACTTAATGAACTGTGAAGAATCAGACAACCCTGACCTGCTCGGTATCTTAAAAATCAGACTTGAAAAACAGGATCTCGGTATTAAAATTCTGCTTCATTTGGCTGCTTTCACTAATCTCTGGCTCCAGGAGGGAGCACACAGGAGCTTTCTGGGGGGAGGCAGCATTAACTCCTCCAGTGCTCTCCGGGTTCCTGCAGGAAAGCAGGAGCAGGGATGGCTCTTCCCAGCACACACCAGTGCACAGCTGCAGGAGACAGGGAGCTCGCCAAAGCTCTGCCTCCTGGAGGGGCAGAACTGCTTCCCGAGGGGCTGGGGACAGTTGTGTGCAGGAGGAATGTGCTCAGCCCTCAAACATCACCTGCTGAAATATCCCTTCCCCTGCAGAGGGAGGGAGGAGAGCCAAAGGACGCAGCGTTGGTGCTCCAGAGAATCACAGGCTCGGTAAAGAAAAGACCTCCAAGACCCCCAAGTCCAACCCAGCACCCCCAACACATCCTCAGCTGCCACATCCACACGTTTTTGTAGTGCCTGCAGGGCTGGTGACTCCCCCCCGCCCTTGACAACTCTTCCAGTGAAGAATTCTCCCCTAATATCCAATTCAAGCCTCCCCTGGAACAACACGAGCCCATCTCCTGCCACTTGTCACCTGGGAAAAGAGGCTGATCCCTCCTGCCAGGGAGTTCAAGAGGGAGAAGGTTCTCCCTGAGCCTCCTTTTCTCCAGGCTGAGCCCCCTCAGTGGCTCCAAACAACACTTCTGCTGCAGAACCTTCACCAGCTCCATTGTCCCTTCCTGAGAAATCCCCCAGCAGTGCCAGGAGGGCTCGGAAGGTGCAGGGCCTGGAGATGCCCTTGGAACCCCAGGACATCCAATGTGCCCTTGGAACCCCATGCCCAGTCCCCAGGACATCCAATGTGCCCTTGGAACCCCCTGCCCAGTCCCCAGGACATCCAAAGTGCCTTTAGAACCCCCTGCCCAGTC